CAATTCATCGATCACTATCAGGAAAAGGCAGCTCACCTTCAATCACTTCTAAGAAAAAGAGCTAGATTTGCTTGGACCGACGTGCAGGCCAAGGCATTTCAAGAGCTCAAGGATGCGCTAGTCTCAGCGGCAGTATTAGCGTACCCAAACAAGGAACAACCATTCAAGTTGATGACCGATGCTTCAGACATAGCACTCGGAGCGGTATTGATGCAATGGAATCCAGAAGAAAATAGAGACTACGTTGTTTCCTATGCATCGAAGGCCTTAAATCCAGCAGAGAAGAATTACGACACAACAGATCGAGAAGGATTGGCAGCAGTTTGGGCAATAAGAAGATACAAACGATACCTCCACGGCAGGCACTTTGAACTCTTCACAGACCATAAGGCACTACTCTCTATCATCCATAAGCTAGAGCCTAGAAGTAAGCGAAAGGCTAGATGGGTCAGCGAATTACAAGAATATGATTTCACTATATGGCATCTTGAAGGCAAAAAGAACGTCATTGCCGATGCCCTATCCCGAGACCCTAAATTTGGAGTAACAGACCAATAAGAAGAAAATGGACCCTACAGCTTACGCTGAACTAAAGGAAAAAGCACTCACTGATAGAGCATTAAAAGTGCGAAGAGGAGTTTTGTTCATCGAAAAGAAGCCAAACCAATGGAGAAGAGTAATCCCAAGCCCAAACCACGAAGAAATTATCAGATCAGTCCACGAACAAGGACATATGGGTATCCACAGCACTGTAAACAAGATCAAGGAACGATTTTGGTGGCCTGGCATTAGTAAACAAGTAGCAGAATTCATTTCAACTTGTGACCAATGTCAACGGGAAAAGAAACCCCAGAAGGCAAAAGACATTTACCCAATAATCGCTTCCAGACCATTCGAAATAGTAGGAATTGACCATGTCGGACCTCTACATGAGACACCAGAAGGCTATCAGTATATGATCATTGCTCAAGATTATTTTACCAAATGGCCTATTGTCAAACCTACTAAGACCACCAACATGGATGAAGCTCTCAAGTTCGTCTATGAAGAAATCTACACTGTTTATGGGAAGCCTCAGCAGCTCATATCCGATCAAGGATCAGCCTTCACAGGAGAACTCTGGAACGCCGCAATGAAGAAATGGAAGATCAATCATACTCCTACCACAGCGGCAAATCCACAGGGGAATGGCCAAGTTGAACGTTTCAATCAGACTTTAGTGAAAATGCTACAGAAGAAACTTGGAGCCAGAAAGAACCAATGGCATTTGAAAATACCTGGACTACTGATGGACTATCGAGCATCAGTACAAGCCACCACAGGAAGGACCCCAGTGGAATTGCTATTTGGATACCGCCTAGAATTGCCAATCGAAGCCAAATATCCAATCGCCTTAGATGAAT